CAGTGTGAATCGGTGTGGCCGAAGGTGCTAGGTGGGGGGATCAAGCCTGCAACACATGCAACGTGCACATCCACACTAGTGTACAGTACCGTACGGTGCGTTACGTGTCCCAGTCAGTGGTTTCCCGATGATGCCTTGGTAATGACGGAATTTTAATAATCGAAACACGTCCTAAAAGAGTTTGGGATAGGTGAGCTTTCATCATTGACGCGAGCAAACGTATAACCGATAATAAGTGACATACGAGTCGAGAGGCCGAGCAATAGCCCGAAGCATCGAGTGAAACGAACGGACGAAGCGTCGGCGATCAATGTTGGTTCGCGGGTGTGCCCGTTTGCCCAGCCCCGTGTGTTCCCTTTTTTCCCCTTTTGGTCCCCGTAGGATATCTGTTTCCTAACTGACGCTCGATCGATACAGATTGCTTTAAACAAGTCGTAAGAACAGGGCGAACGTGTCGCGGGAAAGCCGGATGAACGAAACGGCGAAGCGGTAAAATATCCATCGGCGATGTTGTGATTTCGAAGGACAACCTCGGTGAGATCATCGTGACACTATCACCTGTTCCCGACGATTATGCGCGATCCTAGAACGAACACATAACACACATATGTCTGCCTGTTTCGTTTCATCTGTATTCGCAAGAGCAAGCATAGTGTATAAGCATAATGTAGATTTTGCGTGATACACCTGAGAAGTTGCACGTAAGATATACGTACGTATGTATGTGTGTATGCTGTATGAATGTATTAGCCGGCCCCCGATGACACATGTCGGTTTTCCGTACGTTGTTCCTCAGTTTTTTACACGAGAGAGCACGCCCATTTTTCACACCTTCGTTGGCAACTGTTCGTGAATTTGAAAATTCTGTTCGACGTCGGAACTATGGATAAATTAAGTAATCTTTTTACCGACGATAAATTAAGCAATCTTTTTACCGACGATAAATTAAGTAATCTTTTTACCGACATTTACCGGTGCCCGTTTTCGGAAGTTTCGATTTTTGGTAATCTCTATGCAAGCATAAACAAGTTTCATACTTCGATACCAACATAAGTTACATTAATTTACATTAAGTAACCTAACTTAATATTGAACAGCTTATATTAAGTTATGTTAACACATTTATTTCAAACGAAATTTTTGCATATCTGTTCCAAAATTTTTACACATATTTGTATTCTTTATGTACAACGAAACGTCTAAAAAAAAAAAAGTCACTTATGAATAGAATTTGCAGAAGCTCCGATGCGATAATTTCAATTGTCGAATTCGTTTAAATCACGAAAATCTGCGATGAATTAACTTCGCCGACGTTTTTTTCTTTCTGCGAGAATTTTGACAGTTGGAATTTGTTCACGAGAACTTTCTGTTTCCAGATCAAGAAAATACTATACCGATCATGAAGTTCATCATCGTGTGTATCATCTCAACACTGGCACTGCAAGCATCAGCTTTAAGTGAGTATAATTCCGTCATCGCGTTTTATATATCGGTCACAATAAATTCGTACTAACACTCGTTACGGCCAATCAAGTTCTCATGATATAACAATCTGTGATTTTTAATTATAGTTCGTATCCTGGATGTTATAGGAGGTGAAAATTGTAACAGACTTGTTAGACGCAGCTAGTTGTTTTCACATAGAACAGATGGCTCTTTAAATGACTTTCCTTCATGCTTAGAATATTATGAAAATTCATGAAATACGAATATACATTGTTTTTCCTTGCTTCTTTGAGACGTTTTCAACACGTTTTCAACATTTATTATCTTAGGAAAGCATTTTTGCTTTTCACTAAATTTCATCGTATTCAAAAAGCTTTTCAATAATTATTTTGATTTCATTCAGTAGATCTGAGAACATATAGTTCCATTAATTTTCTATTTGTTTAGATAACAGTATATTAGATTTCATTACTGCTGCATAGTGTACATTTCATCACACCCTATCAACAAATTGTTTCATAGCTGTGTAACAGTAATGCACATTTGTCATTTGTATCTTCCATTAGTCCAATCTCCACCACGGATATCCAAACAACCCCCTACAGATGAGCAGTTATTTCAAGTGGCTCAGGCAAAGATTAATGAGAATGACAAACCATTTTTAATTGAATGCGAAGCGGAAGGAGAACCGGCTCCGAGGTAAAGTTCATTTAATTGGAAAGCAAATAAAAATACATTTTGCTGATTAGTTGTAATTTTTTTAAATGAAAATTCTTGTAGATAAAAATAGCCTTAATTCCTGTAAAGCTTCTGTAATGCTTCGGAAAGAGATAGAAAGGATTATTTGTTATATTGATTTACATTCTCAACATTAATCATAGAGGAGGAAATATCTTGTAAAAGAATTATGTAATTATTTGGTAATGGAACTCGAGAGTAGAAGAAGATAATTATTATTTAATTAATATTATTTGATAATGAAATGTTAAGAGTACAAAAGGATTTCATTCATATAGTTTTATTGCACTCGCATCCACATACATTATCTCTATCTTACAAAGAAGCCAGAGTAACTGGTCTTAATTACCAAGATGACCTCATAGCCTTAGGGGTATAAAGTTACCAGTACTGATAAAGATACCTTGCTTGTGGTGTGAATTGTAGATATATGGGAGTGGTCTGACAGTATACTGAAGGAAAATAAAGACTATCATATTATCACATTGTAATCAATATTGTACTATTTTTAATAGGATAGTAGTAATTAAGCAATGATGATATGTAATTCTACTAAGAATGTTAATTTTATTGAACAATTTTACATAGGTATCGATGGATCAAAAATGGAAAAAACTTTGAGTGGCCGGCATATGATGACCGTATATCCCAACAACCTGGTAGAGGTACACTGGTGATCTCTAGACCACGAGATGAGGATCTGGGCCAGTATCAGTGCTTCGCAGAGAACGAGTGGGGAATTGCAACGTCCAATTCAGTCTTTGTCAGGAAAGCTGAACTGAACTCGTTCAAAGATCAAAATCCTATAAGTCTGGATGCAAACGAAGGGCAACCGTTTAAACTGACTTGCCAGCCACCAGACGGTTGGCCAAAACCAAATGTATATTGGTTAATTCAAGATACCGCCGGAGGTATCAAATCGATCAACAATTCGCGAATGACTTTAGATCCCGAAGGGAATCTTTGGTTCAGCAACGTTACGAGAAACGATGCTTCTGACGATTTTTATTACGCGTGTGCAGCCACATCTGTATTCAGAAATGAATATAAATTAGGTAATAGAGTTTTATTGAATGTTATCTCTTCAGGGATATCTGCTAGTCAAAATAAGTACAAACCTGTTAAACAGTATGTCAGTAGAAAAAATGAAGTTGCCTTACGCGGTAAGAAGATTGAATTATATTGCATATACGGCGGGACACCACTGCCACAAATAGTGTGGAGTAAGAATGGTGAAGTAATTAGAACTAACGATAGAATAATGCAAGGGAATTACGGCAAGTCATTGATAATTAAACATGTCAATTTTAAAGACGAAGGAACATACACTTGCGAGGCTTCGAACGGAGTGGGCGACGCGAAATCATATTCCATTCACTTGCAAGTGATGGCGGTGCCATTCTTTACTATCGAGCCAGAAATTATAAACGCGGCGGAAGACGAGACTGTTGAATTCAAATGCGCAGCCGATGGAGTGCCTGTCCCTGAGATAAAATGGATTCACAATGGCAAACCAATATCGGAGGCTCCGCCAAATCCACGCAGAAAAGTTACATCAAACTCCATCATTATCGAGAAATTGACTAAGAAGGATACAGGAAATTATGGCTGCAACGCGACAAACTCGTTGGGTTATGTGTACAAGGACGTGTACGTAAATGTTTTAGCTCTAGAGCCTGAAATTACTCAGCCCCCTGCTGATATCGCTACCGTCGATGGTAAAACCGTGAGAATTACTTGCCGTGTATTTGGAGCGCCGAAACCAGCCGTAAAGTGGGTTCGAAACGGGCAAGAACTAACCGGAGGACGATACAAGATTTTAGATTCCGGCGACTTGGAAGTTGACAACGTAATATTTTTAGATGCTGGCACCTATACGTGCCACGCGTCCAATAAATTTGGAGAAGTAGAAGCCTCTGGTAATCTAGCAGTAAAAGAACATACTCGAATCACAGATGAACCGGAAGACTACGAAGTTGCTGCAGGCTCCACTGCAACCTTTAGATGCAACGCCGTTACAGATTCCAGTTTAACACTTACGATCGACTGGCTGTGCAATGGCGAGCCCATCGATTTCGAGATGGAACCACGATTCATCCGAAGCACTGATTACTCTTTAATGATTACAAAAACGACTGAACTAGATACTGGTACTTATACTTGCGTCGCTCATACCGAGTTGGACGAGGCGAAAGCACAAGCAACACTGGTTGTACAAGATGTACCAAACCCGCCAAAATTAGTTAGTGTTATCTGTATGGCCAGTGAAGCTACCATACACTGGACTCCAATGGGTGACAACAGAGCACCGATTTTGAGATATACTATTCAACACAACACCACTTTCACACCGGATACGTGGGAAATATCGAAGGATCCTGTTCCAGCAACTGAACAGACATACGTTGTTCCAATGTCGCCTTGGGCAAACTATACATTCCGTGTGTTAGCGTGGAATAAAATAGGCCCGTCGTTACCTTCGCCACACAGCGACGTATGCACCACGTTGCAAGACGTCCCTTACAAGAATCCTGATAACGTTATGGGCAAGGGAACAACACCGCAGAATCTGGTTATATCTTGGACAGTGATGCCACAGATTGAACACAATGCGCCCAAATTCATGTACAGAGTATATTATAGACGTGATATACCAGGAGAGAAGTGGACTATAGAAGACATAAATGATTGGAGGAAAAACAGTTTGGTTGTGGACAATCAACCAACTTATCAAAAATATAAAGTTAAAGTGGTAGCTATTAACGAAAGAGGTGAATGTAGAATTGCACCTGAAGAAGTGACAGGATACTCTGGGGAAGATGGTCTGTGGATTTTGTCCTATTTTTTATTATATTTGTAACTTGTTTCAGGATTGAGATGTTATTTAAAGCTGATTTTTAATGTTGCAGTACCATTGCAAGCTCCAAGCAATTTTACGTTAAATCAAGTGAAGTCCAGTACAAGCGCACAATTCTCGTGGAATCCGGTTCCCGAGGAATCGGTACGTGGTGAATTACAAGGGTACAAGATCCAAACGTGGACAGAAAAAGACGGTGAAAAGGGAATGCGAGAAATTGATATAAGAGGTGGTAATAGGACTCACGCATTGGTTACCAAGTTTGTTCCCTTCAGCAAGAACTATGTTCAAATATTAGCATACAACGGACGGTAATGAATATTAAATAGCAATAAACTTTCGCATTAACTTCGATTACAGTGATAATCTTTCTGTATAGATATGCTGGACCACCTTCTGAAACTTTAAGCTTCGATACACCAGAAGGTGTTCCAGGAACAGTCCTCAATCTTGAGGCGTTCCCAATGGGTTCTAGCGCTTTGTTTTTAGTGTGGACAAAACCTGCAGAGCCAAACGGTATCCTGACTGGCTACAGAATATATTACGAACCCGTAAACGGAACCAGGCTGGGACTCTTGTTGGAGAGAAAACCACATATTACAGATCCAGAAGCCACCAGTGCAAAACTAGCTGCTCTGGCGCCTGACACGAAGTATCGTGTACACATCCGGGCAACAACAAAAGTTGGTGAAGGAAACGAGTATGTATCATTGCTTGCTACCTTTCATTTTGTATCTGTATGTGTGTAAAACAATATATTGTTTTTTTATATTCACTTTTAGCTATTTTATCGAACAAAAAACACGCCCATCTCAACGCCCTGATGTGCCACAATTCACGTGGGAAGCCATTCCAAAAGAAAACGGTTACTCGAATGTGAGAATAATCTGGCAGCTGAATCTCAATGGGAATCCGGGAAGTCATTTTTTCGTAAAGTACAAACTCAAAGGTGAAACGATATCAGCCCAGACTGAGCCGGAGTTTCAGTCGAATACGATTGAAATTCGCGGATTACAAAGTGGTGAAGTATACGTGATGTCTGTTGTTGCTGTTGACGGCAACTACTTCACGGAAAGCGAATCTCAAGAAATAGAAACTAGCAGCGAGGGACCTATCATTCAGCCTAAAGAGAATGTCGCGACTGCTGGATGGTTCATAGGAATGATGTTAGCAATTGCCTTTCTTCTTTTGGTACTTATAATTGTATGCGTGATTAAACGTAACAGAGGTGGGAAATACGCGGTGCATGAAAGAGAATTAGCTGCTGGACGTGGTGATTATCCAGATGAAGGTGGCTTTCATGAGTATTCGCAACCTTTAGACACCAAATCAGCAGGTGGTCGCGCTTCTCTTGCATCTTCTTCCCATCAAGATGGAAAGCATCCTGAATCTGATACTGATTCTATGGCAGAATATGGAGAGGGAGATACAGGTCAGTTCAAAAGATAATAGTAGTTTACTTGCATAAACAGAGGTAACAAGGTAATTGAAGTAAGTAGCGTTAGGTTTCAGTAATGTGTGCACTTCAATTCCTACATGTGTAAATGCACATGAGAGAGCATGAATATAAATATTTATGTTTTGTTTCCATTTTATACACATTCAAGGTAGAATAATTCATATGTTGTTAATTTCTTGCACTATAATTTATGTTATGGTTTTGTTTGGTATGATTTTATTTTGCTTTGTTGCTTGACTTAATGCAGAAGGTATGAACGAGGATGGATCATTCATTGGTCAGTATGGTCGACACCGTAAACAAGAACCAAATTCACAAGCGTTTGCCACGTTAGTGTAAGGTAGGTCAAGTAACACGTTTAAAAGAAAATTACAGTCATTGATCGTTCATGTGTTTTTTTATAATTTTCAAGTTATACATTTTAAATGCAAATTTGTGAATTCTGATTGTCATTCTGATTGTTAAAGGACGTTTCACGGAGGACGGTTCTTTCATTGGACAGTACGGGCCCAAAGGTAGACCGGAAGAAACACCGCCCATTCCGAGCGGCACTATGGCCACATACGTGTAACCTTTGGCATTATCTTATTCAAGCCGCATAAACATTGTTTTTCTGTCAGAAGTAAGGTTCCCAATCCTTACAAGCTGCAGCAGCTCTGCTATACATCTTGCGCTGGGCGCAACGTCCAACACTATACTGCCAATTAGACTTTTGATTTTGGGTTTTATAGTTCACATAGGGAAAGATAAGTATAAATGTTTCTATGTCGAGCCGAGTAAAGGCTGTATAAGTCATGCACAACGTTTGTACATGCGTGTCGTTTAAAAAGTAATTCCTCATGAATATTTAACACATGTCCAGATATGTGTTATTCGAATGTTTTGACAATTTTTTAGTATTTTTGAGAAAAAAATTGATCTGCGACGATTATTTGATCTACGTGATTGCGTGTGTTACAAAGTACGATTTGTTAGTCGATCGAGAATTATTTACAATTAATGAATTTGTTGAAGATCTTTGACTAATTATAGAACCCAAAGACGATAGAAGTGTCTCATAGCGTGCAAGTTATTTATGGACATAATATAGTAGAAAGTATTGTAACGTCGACCGTAACATTTGATACGGCCAGATTGAGAATTGACACTTCAAATCATCACAGGGTATACGAGTTATGTTTATATTATTCTAAGTATGTGTATTGCAAAAAGGGAAGTGTAAAGCACTTTTAAGGCTGCATATAGAGTTTTCATGTCTTTCAAACGAAGATAATCAATAATTCGTACTACCCGAAAATTAGTTAATACATGACACAGGCTGATATTACTCATATGCAATCTTGAAAACGAAGGGATTGATAAGTATAGTGTCGCAATCTGGTCTGCACTGAAACTAATTTCAATTAGTTAAAAGAAGAAAAAAATGAGGAAAGAATTGTTCTGAGGACCTTTAGATGCAATCAATTTTTACTCTGCCGACAGAGGGCCAAATATAACGAATCAGTGACTATCTACAATTATTGTGCACTTTCATTAATAATACACGAGCAACAAGAGTATATGAAAGATATTATTATTATCATTACTACTACTTCTACTACTATTACTATTATTAATTATTATTATTATTATTATTATTATTATCATCATCATCATCATCATCAT